TTTTTTTTTTTTTTTGGTGCCAGGGATCGAACTAGGGACCTTCCGCTTTCGAGGCTGGGGGGCGGAACCACTGAGCTAAATCCCCGGCCCTGTTATGTGTATTTTATCACAATTTAAAATATGTTAAAAATGATGTAGGAGATACTTCCAGGTCTAACGTTTGGTTTTTATTGCTGCATAATATGATATTGAGGGATAGAATGAATTGGAAGGAACTTGAACGTTGCAGTAAAACTGAGTTGCAATCTTGACTATCTAAATAATGTTGGGCAAACTGTCCAACCTCTCTAAACCTCAGTTTCATTTCTCATAAAATAGTTCTTCTGCTGGGGATCAAGCTCAGTGGTTCCGGCCCCTGCCTCAAAAGCACAAGGTACCGAGTTTGATCCCCAGACCGCCCCCCCCCCAAATAATGAACAAGTAAAATAGTTTTTCACCTAAGTATAATTATAATGCCAAATAGGAATATTATAAGAATTAAATGGAAAAAAAATGTGTGTACAGTACTTAGCTCCTGGCTCATAGTAAACTAGAAATAAATAAGAGAACCTATTATTACACAGTACTGTTATTATGTAGATACGGGACTGGACTTAAAATTTTCAAAACTTATTTTGGGAAGTTGTTTCTTTATGTTGTTGTGCAGTACTGGGGATTGAGCAACATCCCCCCTACCCTCCCCTTTTTTGCAGTACAGGGGACTGAACTCAGGACTTTGCCCTTGCAAGGCAGGCGTGGTACCACTGAGCTAACCCCCCCCCCTTTTTTACTTTGAGACTTTGGGAGGGTCTTGATAATTCATTGAGTTACCATGCTGGGCTGAAACTTGAGGTCCTGTTGCCTCAGCCTCCTAGAGTTGTTTTTAGTTTTTTGGCTTTTTTTTTTTTTTAAGTGTGGACTGAACTCAGGACCTTTTGCATCCTAGACTGTACCAGTGAACTACATCCCAAGCTCTCCCACTCTCTTAAATTCTATCTGACTTCCCAGAAAAGGCCTGTAAGAGCAAAACACTGAAAACAACCCACATGTCTGCTAATAGAGAAATGCTAGATTGTGGTATAATCACATAAAATATTATTTGTGAAAATTAATTACATAATCTCCAAAATAAAATGTTGGGAATAAAAACAAGTTGTAGAAAAATACATAAACTGAGATGTGATTTATATCAAGTTAAACACCAAGCAAAACAATAATACATTGTTAAATACATGAGTGGCAAGGAAAACTCTTTTAAAAGGGAAGAGTCAGGGCTGGGGGTTTAGCTCAGTGGTTCTGGCACCTGCCTTGAAAGCACAAGGTCCCAAGTTCAATCCCCGGACCAAAAAAAAAAGGCAAGAGACTGACACACAATTTATCATAGTGGTTATTTCTGGGAAGAGGTACATAGGGAGCCCGTGGTCTGCCATAAATCTGTCCCTGGGGTGGTGGTGGGTACAAGGGTGTTCTTTAAGCCATATAGGACTGGGGTAGAGGTCAGTGATAAGCATAAGAATAGCATGGACAAAGCCATGGGTTCAATCCTCAGCACCAAAAATAAAACAAAAAAGTTACAAATTTATTTTCCCACTTTCCTTATAATTAAAATTTTCCATGTTAAAAAAATAATAAAAGAGTATTAGGGCTGTTGCTCAGTGGGAGAGCACCTGTCTGGCATGCACAAAGCCCTGGGTTCAATTCCCAGCACTACAAATAAATACATAGAAATAAAAACAATTTAAAGGGGTTTTTTTGCTTCCACATCTATTGTTTTTCACTGTATTGTTCTCTTTTTTATGTGTTCTGAAAAATAGTATATTTCTCTTTTTTTAATTCCTGGAATTGAATTCAGGGCCTCATACATATTGGCAAGTGCCGTACCACTGAGCTACATCCCAGGCCAACTTTTGGATTTTGACCTTTGGGTTGATAGCAATGCAATCAAGCTGTGACTTTGAGGAATTTGTATAACCTCTCTGTATCTAGTTTCCACTTCCGTAAAATGAGGGTCATAATCTCTACCTGGGACCTAGAATAAGGACCATGAGAAAACCTCAAGGGTAAAAAGGTCTTTGCAGCTGGGTGTGGTGGTGCACACCCTAATTACAGCACTAGGGAGGCTGAGGCAGAGGGATCACGGAGAGTTCAAGGCCAGCCCAGCTGCATAGTGAGACTGTCTCAAAAAACAAAAAACAGGCACGCCCTCTCCCTCGGCTGCTGCCACCTCCTTCTGCCACTCCTGGAGCTGCTTGTGTGCTTATTTGGTGTGGACCTGGTACCTCTTTTGTGAAGCAGCAGCTGAGAAGACTCAGGCGCTTGCTATGGCTGACGAAAAGCCCAAGGAAGGAGTCAAGACTGAGAACAACGATCTTTTTTTTTGGTACCAGGATCGAACTCGGGTCCTTGCACTTGCGCAGCAGGCGACGAAACCACTGAGCTAAATCCCTGGCCCGAGAACAACGATCTTAATTTGAAGGTGGCGGGACAGGATGGTTCTGTGGTGCAGTTTAAGATTAAGAGGCATACACCACTTAGTAAACTAATGAAAGCCTACTGTGAACAGCAGGGTTTGTCAAGGAGGCAGATCAGATTCCACTTTGATGGACAGCCAATCAATGAAATAGACACACCTGAACAGTTGGACGTGGAGGACGAAGATACAATTGTTGTGTTCCAGCAGCAGACAGGAGGTGTCTACTAAAAAGGGAACCTGCAAGAACT